AGCAGGAATTTCTCCTCTCAGCAGGTAGTGAATCTGTGCAATTCTTTATCACAGAAGGCTGTAGAATCAGGGTCATTAAGTATATTCAAGGCTGACATGTACAAATTTTTAATCAATAAGGGAGTCAAGGGTTCGAGGGAGAAGACATAGAAGTGGAGCTGAGGACAGGCGGCACAGTGGTTAGTACTGCTGTCTCACAGTGCCAGGGATCTGGGCTTGACTTCATCATGGATGACTGTCTGTGTGGAGTTTGTACGTTCTCCCAGTGTCTATGTGGATTTCCTCCAGGTGCTGCTGTTTCCTTCCACAGTACAAAGATGTACAGGTTAGGTGGATCGGCCATGCTAAATTGTGCCGTAGTGTGCAGGCCAGGTGGATTAAATATGGTAAATGGGGAGTTACAGGGATAGGATGGGACGTTCTTCGGAAGGCTAAATGGGCTCTCTCCGCACTGTAGTGACTCTATGATTATCAGATCAGCCATCTTTCATTGAACGTTGGAGGAAGCTCAATAGGTTGAATGGCCTACCTCTGTTCCTACATCTTTTGGCCTTAACTGCAGTCCTATGGAAGACGGACAGAATCAAGAATATTTGGGAGGGACCGATAGTGTTGAGAAATAAGGTTTGGTTATCTTATCCCTGCTTGTTGAGTTTTGTTGAAGAGCTTGCAAGTGGAAGGATAAATAGGTCTTGCCTCTATTCATCGTCTCCTTTCCCTTGTTCTTCATGCTGCTTCAGCACCTTGACTTCTTCACAAGTTGCCAGATTCATTAATTCTTTTCAGTGACAAAGCTATGAGGTTTGCAACAAATGGCAGTGACAAGGAGATCCTTGGGACGTCCATTGCAGAACGCTTCTTGGCCTATCCTTGAGAATACCAATAGATTGGTGTATCAAGGTTCTGGAGGATTGATGACTTTGATTATATCACCCCTCTCTATCTGTGCACCATTTTCTGACTCATATCATGTCTCAAACCTCTCTTTATCTCACAGCAGCTAGCTCCTTAACTGAAGTTTTATGTCTAGACTCAGGACAGTAGAATACATCAAGATCCATTAACTGATACCCAGGGCTCAGGACAGGGACAGGACTACTGTGCATTGGTCAGGGGTGAAGCTGCTGTGCTTGGGACAGGAGGCAGTGCTGCTGTTCTTAGGAAAGGGTCAAGCCCAGGAAAAGCATGGACCCCAGGACTTCTGTCACTGGCTGTGATCTAGATAAAGCCACGGGTCAGGTATCTATTGACTCAAGTGTGTCCAGTATGTTCAGCCATAATTTGGTAGAGAGCTGGGCCTTAAGACAAAATTTCGGCAACATCTATTTACTTCACAAATGGAGCTTGTGTAAATCACATTTGATAGCAAACATTCTACTGAGGCTCCTTAGAAATTAATTTCCTGAGTATGCAAATAAAAATGATGACCAAAACTGTAGTCACTTCTCCTGATAAAACAAGGTTGATATCCCCAGTGAAATTAAATGATAAGAGTATAGTCGTATATAAATTGTAAAGTCACAATTGCATCCTAAGCACCACATCTGTAATTTCAAGCTGACTTTTGCCAGGATCCTCTGGCCAATATCCTACTATAGACTCATCAGATAACAATTTTGGAAACTTTAATGTCTTCCTTAATATCCAACCAGTGAGCAGTCAAAACCTATTGGAACGAGGAGTAGTGTCAGTTCCCGTGAAAAATACAATTGTGCAAAGAATGGGAAATGAAGTAAAGCTGTGGTGTGAAGTTTTTATCTATGTTAAAAACAGAGAAGTTTTTTTTATAGGCTAGAGTACGATTTGTCTAGCAGGTATTGTTTGGTCAATGTTGCTTTTAGTTTATTTGTTAAAGTAAAAGTCTTTAAACTGGAAACTTTGCTGTGAGTATTCTATAAGTTGGTCACTGGGAATTTAAATATCCTGTTTAAAGTTAATATCTCTACAGGGATTGCAAGAAGCTGAAGATGCATTTATTTACAAAATCTCTGCTGAATTTATTAACATTACTGTGCAATGACGAATCAAGACTCATAAACTGATCATTGTTTAAACCTTTCAAGGAGGAGGTTTGGAATGCAGATAAACATGCAGTTTATTGTTTGTTAATTAACGAAGAATTATTTGTTTCAAGGATCTTCACAGAACAGGTTGCAGTTCTTACTGTGGGCAGGAGGCTGAGCAGGATCGTGTGATGCTGAAGCGAGTTCTTCTTGCGTATGCTCGTTGGAACAAATTTGTAGGCTATTGCCAAGGTTTCAATGTACTTGCTGCACTCATACTGGAAGTGGTGGAAGGGAATGAAGGAGATGCACTGAAGGTAAATGCAGTGAAGTAGAACGAGCTAATCAAGTTTAAGAACAGTAACAATCTAGCATTTATATGGTGTTTCATCATATCTTTTGGAACTGTGTTTGCATTGAACAGAATTGGTGCTGAAGTCTTCTTAGTGCATATTTATCTGATTATGTCGCAGAGACATGTCAAGGATTTGATAGATTTTTTGTTTTATCTCCAGGTTAAGAGCTCGCACTTCTTTTTCTGTGACTTTTTAGTACATATTTATTGACACTCCAGTAACAATGCAGTGACTAAACTTTGTCGGATACTTGTTTCCTAGGTCTTTCAGTTTTATTGATAATTGCATGTTCATTTTCTGTTTTATTTTTCCGTTGTGTTATAAATTCAGACTTGGAGTTTTATGCATACAGCCACGTATTGCAATAGTGTTACATAATTTTGCAGAAGAATGATGGTGTGCTCTTTTATTAAATTCCAGACCATTCGTTCTCTAGTTATTAATTGTGCTTACAATAGATGATGAACTTTACATAAGAAAGCAACGCTGAGATGTGTTATATGGAAGTAGTAGATGTGTTATATAGACTTAGTAGATTAATACGTATTACCCTGCTTGCTTTTGTCTCCTTTTAATATATAGGTTATGATTTACTTAATTGACAAAGTACTCCCTGAGAGCTATTTTGCCAATAATTTACGTGCGTTATCAGTCGATATGGCTGTTTTTCGAGATCTTCTGCGGATAAAATTACCTGAACTTTCCCAGTATCTTGATAATCTTCAGAAAGGTGCCAATAAGGAAAGTGCAGGTATATTTCTTTCAATTTTAATAGATTTAATTTATTTTAAGAGCTAGTTTTCTCTCTCCATTGTGCTTGCTGCTTCTTGTTTTTCATGTCTAAATTTTGAGAAAGAATTCTGGGTAATTTCTGACAAACCTATTCAGAGATGTTACTACATACTTCTGGAATAGGTGGGACTTGAACCCAGGCCTACGCTGCAAATGAAATATTTTTTGGGCACGAACAAATTAGCTGTGGAATGTGCTGATATACATCAAATAGCATAGCATTCACACCTACAATTGGTCCATGTAGGTGTTAATGTTCTACACAAGCCTCCTCTGACTTTGATTCAACTAACCAGGCCAACATCTCTTCTACTCCTTTTTCCCTCATGCTTATCCAGGTCACCATTGAATGCATTGAAATATTGATGAAGACTTTCTTAATTTTAAGTTTATTTTAAAAACATTCCTTCTGCGTTTAATGGCTTCTGCTGGGTAAAGAGAAGCAGAACAGGGAGCAGTCCACCATACACAAAGCCACGCAGTTCCAGTATGTTGGCCTGCCATTTAGTGACTGGTTGTCAGGAATGCTAGCCAACTAATGTAGTGAAAGGGTACTCTGAGCCAATTGGCTGTCAAGAGTGAGACATCAGGAGCGAGAGGGGTTACATCATGGCCAAAGTTAGTTCCAGCCACCAACTTAATGAGCCCCGTCCCTCTCAAACTTGCTTTAATTTTAAGTCAGTTAATAGAAGCTGAGCAAATAAAAGTCTCCGCTTCAGCAACAGACTTTGTATCAATCCTGATTTTGGGCCTTATCGTCATCATTGTGCCATTTCTTCTTACTTCCCACGTGTGACGTAAGGTATGTGATTTTTAAAAATATATGACTTATCTTTGGATTTCAGAATTTTGTAGCCATGGTAATTTGTCACATAAAAGATCTGAATTTTGTTTTCAGTGTGGTGTTTAGGGGAAACACCCAAAGATTTGTTTTAATGAGGTGGTTTGCCATACATACAATTATGGAAATTTGTGACTAAGAACAAAATTTAGTTTGCAGAAGCCTTGACTTAAACTGAATATGTGAAACAGTTGCACCTGAGAAAGAGAGGTAGCTAAGGGCTGTTTTTTAAAAAAAAGGAGTTTGGTTTAAAATTTGCAAGAAGTGTTTGTAGTTAAACCCTGAGGAGTTTACTTGAAGCAATAAAAATCTAAGTATAGTTGTATGGAGGCAGCAGGGAAAATTCTCAAGATGGGGATTTCAGACCACAGTTTAATTATGCTCTATAAATGTGAGAGAGAAGGAAAGTCTCTCAAGTATGAGTATTGTAAAGGAGTATTGTTGGGATTGATTGGATTGTACTTTACTGTGTGTTTCCAAATTGTAATATTCTGGTTTATTAAATTTTATTTTCATTTCTTTTATGAAATAAATTTAAGTTTTGTTGCTGGATGCGAATTTGCAGCATTGCATGTTTGCGTTTCCGTGGTAAACCACCAGCTTAAAATGAAAAGAATATGATCTCTCGAGCCACGTTTCAGCCTGGGATCTGACTTGTCCAGTAATAACATCAGTTAAGATTGTAATATTTGGCATCATTCACCTCCAAGTCTCTTCCATGCAACTTACAAAATACATTGAGTGGACAGTGAAAAGTTACGGTTGATTAGTTTTTTAACAAACCCAATGGCTTAATACTTGTTTCTTTTCAGTGGAGTAGATAGGCTTCCGATTTCAGCACCTGCCTGCCTTCTGTGGTATTGAACACAGGCAGGGTATGGGACATAGGGTACATGAGGGCCCAAGAACCAGGACCTGGGGCTCTAAGGGCCCGCTGTGCCTGAGTCAGGAACCAGGTCCTGGGACAGGAGCGGCACCAGTGCCCGTGATTTATGTCCCTACCCCCGGAGACAGGTGGGATGATATTGGATTGACAACCCGATATCACTGTGCCATGTTTTACATAGGTGAATGAGTGCAACCTGCCCAATTTGCAGCAGTAGAATCCAGTCCTATAAGATGAACAGACGTGGAGGAGTTAAGAGGGAACTGAAACACATTATGATGAATGGTAGTTTTCTCTGTGATATTGAATTTTTCAGCTCAAAATTTGTCGGTGGAAACGTCTTTTAAAAAAAAAACAAAATTCAGAACAAAAAATATTAATTTTATGCTATTTTAAATTGAATTATTTGAAGAGATGCTGATTGAGTACTTTTTAAAGCTAAATTTAGGTTCCTGATTTTCGTTAGAGTTTAAAAAATTAAGTACACAGGTTTTAATACCAGCTTTAGTGTTTCTGGGCTATGAAGGAATGTTTGCAATGTTTTTGATTTATTAAATTGATGACAATATAGAAGACATGGTTAGTACGTTTGCAGATGACACCAAAATTGGTGGTATAGTGGACAGTGAAGAAAGATATCTAAGACCACAAAGAGATCAATTGGGTCAGTGGGCTGAGGAGTGGCAGATGGCATTTGATTTGGATAAATGTGAGGTATTTGCATTTTGGTAAAACAAACAAGGGCAGGACTTATACAATTAAAAGTAAAGTCTTGGTTAGTGCTGTTGAACAGAGAGACCTAGGAGTTCATGTACATAATTCTTTGAAGTTCACGTCACAGGTAGGAATGATGGTTAAGAATGCATTTAGCACACTTGCTTTCATTGCTTGGAGCTTTGAGTAAAGGAGTTGGGATGTCATGTTGAGGTTGTACAAGACTTTGGTGAGTTTGTTTTGTAGTGCTGTGTCCAGTTCTGGTCACCCTGATATAGGAAGGATATTAGTAAGCTAGAGAGGGTTCAGAAAAGATTTACCAGGATATTGCCGGGAATGAAAGGTTTGAGTTATAGGGAGAGGGTGGGTATGCTGGGACTTCTTTCACTGGAGTGTAGGAAATTGAGAGGTGACCTTACAGAAATTTACAAAATTGTGAGGGGTATAGTTAAGGTGAGTGGCAGGTGTCTTTTCTCTAGGTTTGGGGATTTCAAGAGTAGGGGTCATATTTTTTAAGGTGAAAGGAGAAAGATTTAAAAAAGACATGGGGGGCAACTTTTTTACACAAAGACTGGTTCATGTGTGGAATGAACTTCCTGTGGAAGTGGTGGATGTGGGTACAATTAGAACATTTAAAAGACATTTGGATAAGTAAAACAATAAAAAATGTATGGAGGGATATGGGCTAAGTGCAGAAAGGTGAGACCAGTTTAGTTTGGTATTATGGTTGGCATGGACTGGTTGGACCAAAGGGTCTGTTTCCATGCTATATGACTCCATGACTCTGTAAAAGTTTTAAAAAATATTATCACCATAGAAAATAGAAAATTATTCATCTCTCAGTGCTCAATTCAGGAATTAAAACACTACCTTAACTGTGTTAAATGGAAATTTTTCAGTTCTAACCATAATTTTTTTGATAGGTAATTACGAGCCTCCCCTGACCAATGTGTTCACCATGCAGTGGTTCCTAACTTTGTTTGCAACATGCCTTCCTAATCATACTGTGCTACGAATCTGGGATTCTGTGTTCTTTGAAGGCTCTGAGGTGATTCTACGAGTAGCCTTGGCAATCTGGGCCAAACTTGGAGAGTAAGTTATAAACTTTAATCAATTCTGACAAACCCAGTGTTGAATCTCACATTCAATCATTTTTGAAAATAACATCTTAGATCAGGAAATTTGACTTGGATGAGAAAACTGAAACCAACATGGAAAGAATGACAGAGACAACAAGGTGCAGGGCTGGATGAACACAGCAGGCCAAGCAGCATCATAGGAGCAGAGAGGCTGACGTTTCGGGCCTAGACCCTTCATCAGAAAAGGGGGAGGGGAAGGGGGTTTTGAAATAAATAGGGAGAGAGTGGGAGGCGGATAGAAGAGGGATAGAGGAGAGGATAGGTGGAGAGGAAACAAACAGGTCGAAGAGGCGGGGATGGAGCCAGTAAAGGTGAGTGTAGAGTAGGGAGTTAGGAAGGGGATAGGTCAGTCCAGGGAGGACGGACAGGTCAAGGGGGCGGGATGAGGTTGGTCGGTAGGAGATGGAGGTGCGGCTTGAGGTGGGAGGAGGGGATAGGTGGGAGGAAGAACAGGTTAGGGAGGCAGGGACGAGCTGGACTGGTTTTGGGATGCGGTAGGGGGAGGGGAGATTTTGAAACTTGTGAAATCCACATTGATACCATTGGGCTGCAGGGTTCCCAAGCGGAATATGAGTTGCTGTTCCTGCAACCTTCGGGTGGCATCGTTGTGGCACTGCAGGAGGCCCAGGATGGACATGTCGTCTGAGGAATGGGAGGGG